CTGTTCGGCAAAAAAAAAAAAAAAAAAAAAAAAAAAAAAAAAAAACCAGTACATCAAAGTTCCATTTACAAACTTGCTAAATATCAAGATTTCTGGCTTTCTGACCCTGAATTCCCAACCTGGTACAGATTTACCAGACAGCCTGCGAGCCAGATGTTTGAGGCTGTATCTTGGCTCTGCTTCCTTATGCCTCAAGCAGATAATGACCTCTCTGTGCCTTGGTTTTCTCAGGGATAAAATGGGGAAAGTACATAAAATCTATCCATTACGTTAGGAGGTTAAAAGGAGCTAATGAGTGTTAAGCGCTTGGTGTCTGGGATAGTAAGTGCCCAAGGAAGAGCTGCAGGCCCAGGTGTGCGTAGGTGGTAGGGCACCACTGCATGACACTGGAGGGCTGGGGGCAGCCCGACAGGCAGATGCTGGGTCGCCCCAAACACACCAAGTGCGACCCATGATCCTGACTGGCTTGGAAGTTGCATGAAGAAGGGGTAAGAAGATCCTTCCGAGGGACTTGTTTCTCTTGCTCCCTCTCTTCTCTCCTCTGTCATAAAAAAGAGAAACTTTAAGGAGAGGATCTGCAGGTATCCGAGTCTGTGCAGTGACAGCCGCTGGTGACCTCTGCGAACAGCAGCCTTGCCCTTCACGCACGCACAGCATCTCAGCTGTTATGTCAGTGCGTGCCTCCTTCCACAACTCCCTGTGAGACCACAGTGACGGTCAGCCACCAGACACAGAGAGCCACGTCTTTGCTACATACCTACTGACTCCATGAGCCATCTGTACTCTCGGATAGTCCAAAACTGAGAGACCAACAAATGAGATACTAGCGGAACAGTGTAGTAAGAAATGGCAGAGAAAATACCAAGTCCTTGAAAACAGGTGACTAGAAAGCAATTTTCAAGATGGTGAAATGAAGGACCACATCCCAACCTCTCAAGTAATAAAGAATAAATACCCTGGAGAGAAACTGGTGTCATCTCATTTAAGTAGAAAGACACACTGACCTCTAGGAAAAATAAAAGAGAAAATGAGTAAATTTTAATATATAAATTATATTTAATATAAAATTATTATTTAATACATATTAGTCTCTACACATTGGTAAAGTCAAATTTATTTTGAACAGAATGGGAGTGCATAATAAAAATTTCTATATAGTCTTAGTCTCTCATTCTTTTATATGTTTTAAATATGAACGGTCATATCTTAGCTTATAGTAATTTAGTTCTACAGTGGTGTATAGTTCTTTAATAAAAACCAGTATGATTGAAAACAATCATTTTAACAAAGACACACACATGGGCCAGGCCCATGGCACAGTGGTTAAGTGCTGTGTGTAAGGAGCTAGATCCCATCTAGCCATCTGCAGTTCAAATCCCAGCCACAGCAGCTTGAAAAACAAGTCAGGCACAAGTTTGTGTGCCCAAAGTCCTGATGGGATGGAGAACTGGAGAAAAAGGACCGTGGTGTGACCATGACCTACAGAGAGAGTCCCTTATCTCAGCCTCCTTCTCTCTCTTTCCCTGCATGCACCCCGTGGAAATAAAAACATTAAATAAAAAGATGTATACATATGCACCATGTATGCAAGCAGGTAACCGGGAGCAGCGAGTATCACTTCCATTATGCTTGTCAGTATCTTCTCAAACAAGAAAGTGGAATGACAGTACAGTTTCAGGGCCACACACAGGGAGGGCAACACACACAGTTCCAAGCACCCTGCTTACCATGCCAGACTGCTGCGTGTCCATCCCATAGCGTAGCCACTGTTTTCCTTGCACCATCCCATAAATTATGAGAGTAGGCTTCTTTTAATACGTTCTTCCTCTTATAAATGTGCAAGAAGATAATAGTAAGGTAGAGAAGGAAGATGGTAAAGTAAGGAAGTATCAGAAGTATGAGTGGGGTAAAAACCCACAAGAGATAGTTTGCAAAATTCAGATAGTCCTCCAATTGGTCCACACCAAACCATTCTTCGAGTATGTGAATCAGACAAGTCATATAGGGCATGGAATCCTGTCCTACACCACAGGTTTGATTTTTATCTATCATTTTTCTTTAGGTGAAAATGACAAATTCGGTCTTTTTCTTCATTGCCATAGCAGATCTTTAATCTTGATACTAGAAAGAAAAAATAGTCCAATGTTATTCTCTTCACAGCTATTAAGTTAAATGTCTTAATCTATATAAATACAATATAGAACACTTCCTTAATACACCAAAAATGAGTAGGTTGCTAATGGTTAACCTTATGGCAGATTTACAAGAAAAGAGGACTTCAAAGACTTCATAGAAAAAAATGAAACTAAAGTACAAGTTTATTTTGGTGTCCCCCCCCAAAAAAAAAACCAAAAAACTAAGCCCACATATAGATTATTTCAAAATATGCATTTTTCAATGAATGTTTGAAGACCCCTGTAAATGTGGAAATTATAAAGTTTCCACTTGTTCAAAAAAGGTGTTAGGTTTAGACTTTCTTAAAAGGCAGGACCTGGCTAATGTCACAGTCTTCTTGCCTCATTCTCCTAAGTAGTTAGGAGGACAAATGCATGTTAGCCTTTTAGGGTGAGCCAGGAACTGAACCGTGTCTCCCATTTAGCCTCATCCTGCCAAGCAGCAGCCAGGTGTAGCTTCTGAAATACCTTGCTAGCTATACTTGAGAGAAGACAATAAAGCTGATGAGGAGTGAAATTTCAGATTGATCTTAATAATGTGACTCATTTCTGAAGTGGATCATGTTGTTGAACACTTGTATTTTAAACTAGGTCATTTTGAGATACTGCTGTTCTTCACAAAAGAAAACATCAATAACTTACTCAATAGAAGTAATCAGATTCTTTAAAAACTGGTGATATACATTTTTAGATACTGTCTTTTATAAAGAAATAGGTTTGTAGAATTGCCATCTGTTATTTTGACATTACATGGTAATAAAAATTTATCAGTACTGTTTTCACTTTGTAGTCACTAAAATCTCTCTTAAATCTTAAATGACTGAAAACATAGCTATACAATTATTTTATTAATTCAGTCTCTAAAAGAGTTATTTGACTTACCAGAAATCAGATAAACATCTTGCCGCAAGTTTCAATGTATGTATTCTGGAAAACACACTAAACAAATAGAAAAAAACATATGATTAAAGAAAAAAGATAATCCTAATACCTAGCATTAGAATTTCCATAATATCCACAGCAAGAAATATTCATACATGTTTCACAAATAAGTCTACAGCCCCACACTAGCACATCACAATTAGGAAGAACACTCATGCCACCGCTGTTTTTGTGAGGACAGCTTGAGAGATTTTTGCTATGGGGCATGTGCACTCACTAGAGACAGAAAGCGAGAAATCACCCCCTGGGGAGGAAGGCCACACTGCAATCCCTTCTTCTCCATTCTCCTCTTGGGACTTTGGGCACACACGTACACACGCTGGCATGAGTTTTTAGCCACCGGGTCTGGGACTCAAACCGTGGTCGACTCCGTGGGAGTCCAGCGATGTAAACATTACACCATCTGCTGGTCCCAGAATCTTTTTTAACAAAGCTATAAAAAGCTTTGCTTCTTTGCAGAAACAGTATGAAATTTTGCCAGACAAACTGACGGGCAACCATGATATTCAAAGATACTTTCCTACACACGATTTTCTTCTTCCATTCTTTTCTCTGGTTCTGATTGTACTTTTGGAGATACTTCATCACTAAAGCATACTATACAATATGAATGAGAATCATCTCAAATCCTCTTGGCTGAGGCAAGGAATGAATAAATGAAAGAGATGGACAGGAAAAGCACAGAGTAATTATATGGTACCTTTACGCCAAGATTATATCACTCACTGGTTTACTAGGAGGGATCCATTTTTGACTTGTTCTTCTGGGGCTGGAGGGTGTAGTCTACTTTCCTTGTAACCACTAGCATTCAATCGTGAGAAACGTTGGCCTTTATGGTATCAGAAGGTGAGCACAGCACACACAAGCCCACAGCCTGGGCTTTATTTATATTACATTCTAATCAATCCATCTGAAAAGCCAAATTACTGTAATTATAATTTCCAAAGGGTTCATCATTTAGAATGCAACAGGGCAAAATTTAATACTTTTTAAAATGAGAGCTTTTCCCACTAGAATGGCTATAATCCAAAAAACAGAAAATAAGTGATGATGTAGAGAAGTTAGAATTCTCACACATTTCTGGTGGGAATGTAAAATGATACAGCTGCTGTGGAAATCAGTTTGGCAGATTCTCAAAAACTAAATGGAGAGTTTCCGTGTAGTCCAGCAATTCTACTCCTAGGTATATACCCAAGAGGATTGAAAATATATATTCACATAAAAACATGACTATTCACAGCAGCGTTATTCTGAATGTTCACATAAATAGTATTCATTGCCAAAAAGTTCAAAATCTGATGAACAGATGAACAAAATGTAGGCTATCCACACAAAAAATATTATTTAGCCATGAAAAAGAATGAAGTACCAGTTTACACTGTAACACAGATAAGCCTTGAAAACACTATGCTAAGTCAAATAAAAAAAGTCTAAAGGCCACATACTGATAATCCCATTTACACGAAACACCCAGAATAGGATAATCCACAGAAATGAAAAGCTTGGTCTGTGGTTGCCAAAGGTTGGGGGAAGGAGGGTGAGGAACGACTGCTAATGGAAACAAGTGTCTCTAGGATAGTAACAATGTTCTAGGGTGCCACTCTCTGCCACACTCCCACCCAAACAGCCAGGGCGTCTCATTGGAGAAAGGAAGGGGCTCTCCATTTGGCTGGCGGCCACTTGCTGCCACCCAGCCCCACACCCTACCAAGCAGAGTGAAGGAGGAGGGAGTCTGCAGCCTGACCAGGGCACCATTCACCACTCTGCCTCCACCAATCTCCTTGGAGAGAAGAAGGAAGAAGCCTTCTGGCTACCTGGCGTGACACTCACCAGACTACCCAGAGTGAGGTAGGGGAGTCTGCAGGATGGCGTACTTCTTACATTCCTCCTTGCCAATTTAGCCCCTAGTCAAATCATGGGCAGAGAGTTTGGGAGAGAAACCAGTCACATGAAGATACTGTAACTCTGGGACCAGCAGTTAGCGTAATGGCTGTCGCTGGACTCCCACGTAGTCGACCGCGGTTCGTGTCTTGGACCCGGTGGCTTAAACTCACACTGGGCGCGTGTGCGTGCATGCCCAAGATCCCGAGAGGAGAATGGAGGAGAAGGGATTGCGGCGTGGCAATCCCTGCTGGGGGTGATTTCTCGCTTTCTGTCTCTCTGCCTCTCTCTGTCTGTCTGGAGAGTGCACGCGCCCTATAGCAAAAACCTCTCAAAAAAAAAAAAAAAAAAAAAAGATACTGTGACTCTGAAAGGAAGCTCCCATACCCCCTACTCTAGAGGAGAAAAAAAAAGTCTCCTCTGAAAATCCAAACCCCAAAACTCCCACCATGGATTCCAGCGCTCTCACCCACAGAAGAATAAGAAACGGGCATGGCGCTAGGGCACACTGTGGAAAAGCACACAGGGATACAGCTGCAGAAACCTATGCTCAAAAATGTAGAAGAAGTGAGTTCTTCATCAAATGTGTAAAGATCAAAGCCAAGCCCCAAGAAATACGAGAAAAACAGAAAGTATCTCTCCTTCAATGAGACACAGTTAACTGCTCACCAACAATGAATTAAATAAATCACAAAATGTCAGAAAAAGAGTTCAGAATATTCAACATAACAAAATTCAATGAGATACAAAAGAAAGCAGACAATCAATTCCAGGAGATAAGAAAATCATTCCATGACTTGAAGGAGGAGCTCTGATACTCTGAGACCAGCAGATGACGTAATGGTTGCAATTCTGGACTCGCAGGTAGCTGACTGCGTTTGAGTCCCAGACTAGGTGGCTTAAAACTCACACCAGACACATGTGCATGTGCCCAACATTCCAAGAGGAGAATGGAGAAGAAAGCACTGCAGAGTGGCCATCGCCCTCAGGAGTGATTTCTCACTTTCTGTCTCTCTGGTGAGCACGCGTGCCCTATAAAGACCCCCTTAAAAAAGAATCAAACAGAACTTCTGGAGATTAAGTATACAATAGAGAAAACCAAAATCTCCCTTGAAAGTATTACTAGCAAGTTAGACCACAGAGAAGAAGGGATCTCGGATCTTGAAGACAAAACCTCTGATTTGGTCCAAACCATTGAAAATAAAGACTACATACAGAAACTCTAGACATCACTAAGCAGCTGACTAGCCATATAATGCAAAGATATGCATATAATCTCTTTCATAAAATATTATCTGAAGCTTTCCAAATCTAGAGAGATAAACAGACATCCAGATCCAGGAAACACAAAGAACACCAAAGAGAGTCAACATGAGATGATCCTCTCCGGGGCACATCATATGCAAATGTAAAAATCAAACACAAAGACGATATTCTAAAAATAGCACCAAGTTACTTATAAAGGTTACCCAATTAGACTAATATCAGACCTCTCAACTGAAACATCACAGGCAAGAAAAGAATGGAAAGATGTATTTAAAAATCTTAAAGAAACAATTTCAGCCAAGAATACTATACCTGGCAAGATTATCCTTCAAATGGGAAAGAGAAGCAAAAATCATTCCCAGATAAACGAAAATTGAAAGAATCAACAACTATAAACCAGCTCTTCAAGAAATACTTAAGAGGCAGAAGAAGCCACGGGCCTTCAGGACAAGGTTCCACATGGCTACAGTGAACTAGATTTTTAAGGGAATGAAGATTTTCTACTAATAATTCAGCCTCCAACAAACGAGCTAGCGGTAGGGAGCCCCCCCTCTGTACCCCCAGCCTTCTCTCTCTATCTCTCAGTTTGAACTAGATTTTTAAGGAAATGAAGATTTTCTACTAATAATTCAGCCTCCAACAAACGAGCTAGCGGTAGGGAGCCCCCCCCTCTGTACCCCCAGCCTTCTCTCTCTATCTCTCAGTTCCTGTCTCTCCCTGCTTCTGTCTTCCCTTTCTTTCTTTTTTTTGGTATTATTTCTTTTTTCCCCTTTTTTTTTTTTTTTTTTTTTAAAAAAAAGGGCCAGTTTTTCTCTGGCTCTTAGCTCCACCTTCTTTCTTGT